ACACTATCCCCATGGCACATGAATGAATACCTTTGTTGAGGGATGACACATCCTGCTATGTGCAGCAGACAATTCAGAAGGTAGTTTTTCAGAGATACTCTGACTAGAAAGACTCAGAAAGAAAGAACAAAAGGGCTGGTGGGATTTGAACAAGCATGGGATGAATAGACGCGTGGCAGCATACGCACCTGGAGAGGCCGAGGGGGTGGGCAGCGGAGAAGGCGTAGAAGGCAGCGATGTAGGCCGTGCCGGTGGGCAGACGGGCGTCCGTGGCGTTGAGTGCCAGCGATGCAGCTGGCAGCAGCGCTGCGAACTCACCCTGCTGTGATGGCGATGCCATGCGCCGCACTGCATGGTGGAGAAGGGGAGAGCAGGGAGGGGGAGGGAAAAGGGAGGGGGAAGGGGAGGGGGAGGGGTAGGGAGAGGGGGAAGGGGAGGGGAAGGAAATACAGCGTGAATGGTGAAAGGGATATTGGGTTTGGAGGGCAGGTTGAGAGACACTCAGGCTGGTGGAAGGGAAGGAGAGGTGGTGCACTGCACTGGACGGCCTCAAGAGGTGGAGAGAAAGCGAGCAGCGAGAGTCGAGAGAGGGTTGGTTCGGGCCCTTGAGTTAGGTAAGGAAGATGCAGGCAGCCCAAGGAGAAGCACCTTTTGCGGCGGAGAGGTTGACATTGGTGGAGGAGGCTTGGAAGACTGCGCCTGGCGTCTCATGGGACAGCACTGCCGCCGCCACCCTGCCTGGCAGCTGGAATAGTGTTGTTGCGGCTGGTTGCGGCGCGGAGGGAGTTTGAGAGGGGGAGGCAGGTTGAGAGGCGGTGACTTGAAGGGCGATGGTGCGTTGAGAGGGGGAAGCGGGTTGAGGGGCGGCGGCGGCTGGTGTGGGAGAGGCATTCTGGGTGGCAGGAGCGGCAGCGGAGGTGGCAGGAGCAGCGGAGGAGGTAGAGGGTACGGGTGGGGGGGAGAGTGCGAGGAGGTCGGACGTGAGCGTGACTATGCACTGCGGGGTGGATGGCAGGGGGAGAGGGGGACAGGTGTTGGGGCGCATGGGAAGAGGAAGCAAAGCGAGGTGAGGTGAGCAGGGTGGAATGGAGTGGTGAGGGGAGCAGCAGCAGCGGCAGTGAATGAGGGGTCTCGTGGATACGACGATGCATGCACAGGCCGGGCAGAGGCAGAGGGAGAGCAGAGGTAGCGGCACGGGTAAGAATTGGACTTGAGGAGGGCCATGCCATGTGCAATGAGACAAAGGGCAGCAGCATGACCATGTCCCATTGACCACAGTGGCGCATGTATGGCGGATTGAAACCACCGAGACGGAAAAGCTCAAACGAAGGCAACTGAGAGAAGAGTGCACATGAATGGAGACAAGGGTGGAATGAAGCAGAGAGGCACTCAGAGGGGGGTTGCTGTGGGTGGGTGGGACGCACATGACCAGCACGGGAGGAGATGCCGTCCGGTGCAGCTGTGAGCGAGTCAAGAAAGTCAACCAGCGCTGCTGATGTGGATGGTGCGAGGCTGGCGGGGAGGGGAGAGAGCTCTGCCAGGCTGCATGCTGCCAGCTCAGCGTATTGCGATGTCACCACTGTTGTGCTGCTCTGTTGAATCACCTCCTTTATAAGCATGTCCACTGGAAGGTGGTGAGGAGAAGGAGAGACATGATGGATTTATGAACAAAGCCTGTTATGCCCGTTCAATGGAGGAAAGCACATAGTGAGCAGCATGAGCACGCATACATATAAAATGCGAGAAACACAACCACACAGATGAAATCAATCACTCACCCTCCATCCACCATCCCACCTTGAGCGTCCGTGCCGCTGCTGCCAGCAGGGGAGGAGGCGTTGCCTCTGAACATGGCGGCCCATGCAGCCACGGCCTGCAGCAGCTGCGCACCATCCTGCCGTGCTGCTGCCGGCGCCGCCACCGCCGCCAGCCACTGCTCCGATGACAGCTCCTCCCCGCCCTCGCCTCCTGTGCCCTCCTCTCCCCGCACTCCCGACCCTGAGCTTCCAGCAGCGCCAGTGGAGGGCACGGTGACGGGTTGGGGGGCGACGGCGTCCGTGACAGCACCGGCAGCAGAGGCCACTCGCACTGCCAGGGAGGACTTGCCAGGGGGGAGGATGATGAGGGCTGATGGCGAGGCGCAGGGCAGCGTGAGCGGCTGCAGGGATGTCGCGGTGGGTGCAGGGGAGGAGGAGGGGGAGGGGGAGGCAGGGGAAGGGGAGGAGGGAGGCTGCAGGGTGCCGAAGGTGTAGGAGAGAGGCAGGTCCTGGGGCTGGGAGGACCAGCCAGGCGCGGAGAGAGCAAAGAGCTGCCCTGTGGTGTCCCCGGGGGCGGGCTGCACGAGGAATGTTCCTCCCCAGGGGGCCTTGGCGGCGGGGAGGGTGAGAGAGGCGGACGTGGTGGGCTGGGGGGGGTTGGCGGGGATGGCTGTGGCGGGCTGGCCGTCAGGGGTGAGGGAGGAGGCGAGGGAGGCGCGGGAGGAGGGGGAGGGGAGGGGCAGTGAGTACACGTCGCAGCGGTAGGTGGAGGCGTCGCCCCGGGCGAGCTGTGACGGCGGCAGCACCAGCGGCTGGTTCGTCACTGCATGGCATGGCATGGGGGGGAGCACCAGGTGGAATGGGAAGGGAGGGTTGAGACGAAAAGGAGGGTGGCGATTGAAAATCAGGCGCAGGAGGGAGACAGAGATGCGGCCGAGATGAGATTGAGGGCAAGGGATGGTGGCATGGGGACGGGCAGCGGCGGCGGCGGCAGCGGCGGCGGCGGCAGCAGCAGCAGCAGCAGCGGCAGAACACAGCAGCGCATACCATTGAGGTCGAGGAGAGTGCCGTCGGAGAGGACCTGCTTCCACACATAGGCATAGGGCATGGCGTCCACCACACACTGCAGCTCCACTGCCTTGGCCCGATCCACTGCTATCCCCGCCTGCACTCCCTTGCTGCTCTTCTCTGCTGCTGCTGCTGCCCCTGCTGCTGCCCCTGCTGCTGCTGCTGCTGCTGCTGCCCCTGCTGCTGCTCCTGCTGCTGCTGCTGTCCCTCCCGCCCCCGTGCCTGTTGCACTGCTACCGCTGCTGCCTGTAGAACCATCAGCACTGGTGCTGCCATCACCACCAGTGGTACCAGAACTATTAGAACCAGACCCACTGCTGCCAGTGCTGCTTGTAGAGCCAGCAAGGCCAGTGCTGCCATCACCACCTGAGCCAGTGCCATTGCTGCTGCTGCTGTCTGTAGGACCAGCAGCAGCCGGGCTACCAGAGCCACCCGTGCTGCCAGGACCACCTGTACCGCCATCACCACCAGTGTTGCCCTGCTGCACCCCTGGAGCCCACTCCGCCATCGCCCCTGCCGCCCGCCCCCAAGCCGCCGCCACGCCAACTGCAGCGGCCGGCACCGCTCGGTCCACTGCGGTTACCACGGCGACAGCTGGCACGCTCTCACGGGCCAGCGCAGCGGGGGAGGTGCCGGGGAGGGAGAGGGGGTTGCGGGAGACGAGAAGGGAGAAGCGGTAGGCGCCGGGGGGGAGGGCGTTGGCGGGGACGGTGAGAGAGGAGGTGCTCTGGGCGAGCACTGCCGTGGCGCTGGGGAAACAGGCTGCCGCACCCACACTACCGCCTGCACTGCTGCTGCTGCTGCTGCTGCTGCTGGTAGGTGTGGACAAGGCTTGAGCTTGAGCCGTGGGAGGAAGGCGAGCCTGGTCTTCTGAGAGCAGCTCACAGCCCCACGTGTACTGAATGGGCAGCGGCTTCCCCCTGCTGTCCCTCGCCTCATCTGCATCCACCACCACGGCCTGCAGCAGCAGCTGCTCCCCCACCGACACCACCCTGTCTCCGCCCGATATGGCCACTCTTAGAGGCGATGCGCTCACCCTCACTGCCACTCTGTCCGTTGCTTTTATGGAAGGGTCTGCTGCTGACGTGGCCTCCAGTGATAGGACGTAGGTTGCGCCGGGCTGGAGAGTGCCCGGGGGGATGGTGAGGGAGGGGGAGTGGCGCGAGCGGGCGAGGGCGGGCAGGGAGAAGTTGAGAGGCGGGCCGGCGATGAGCGACCAGGAGAAGGTGAGGGAGGGGGGCGCGTTGGAGAGGGCGAGGAGGGCAGGGGACGCTGTGGGTGATGGCGCGGGAGAAGGGGATGCTGCTGATGCTGGTGCTGCTGCTGAGAACGCTGCTGATGCCGGCACCACTGCTGCTGCTGTTGCTGTTGCCGATGCTGCTGGTGGGGGAGGAGAGGCGGTGGAGGAGGAGGAGGATGGCGGGAGGCAGGAGGAGTCGGGCAGGGAGGCGAGGGCGGAGATGGTGAGGGAGTCGCCGGGGCGGGCGGAGAGCAGGCGCAGGGCGGAGGGGGAGGCAGGGGCGAGGATGCGCAGCAAGGGGGCGGCTGTGGCGGACTGGGTCACCAGCAGCGATGCGTTGGCTGCCCTGCCGTTGGGGTCCGTCACGAATACTGCGAACTGTGGAAGGGCAGAGGGAGAGAGGCACGTGGGGATAGGTAGCGGAGTCGGGGAGGGAGGGCAGGAGAGGAGAGGAGAAAGGGGATAATCGTTGTGTGAGTGTGCGTGAAAAAAAAAAGAGAGAGAGGAAAACAGTGATTTTAGTTGCTTTTACCTCAGCTGCCCCCCTTGCTCACAGACCTACCTTTCCGCCCACAGAACTACAGCCCTGCTTACACACTTATCGCCCCATTCACATTCCCATCGCCCCGTTTATCTCATAAGTGGCCCCAGGGGTGAGCGTCTTGGGCAGGATAGTCAGCGTGGTGGCATCGTTGCGCTGCGACGACACGAGGAGGTCCAGTGAGAGCGACTCGGTCGGCGTCCCTCTGCTCACACATCTATTTTCCCCTTCACGCGCCCATCTCCCGTCCCTCTGCTCACACATCTATTTTCCCCTTCACGCGCCCATCTCCCGTCCCTCTGCTCACACATCTATTTTCCCCTTCACGCGCCCATCTCCCGTCCCTCTGCTCACACATCTATTTTCTTCTTCACGCGCCCATCTCCCCTCTCACCTCGTATGCTGCCCCGGGAGTCAACGTCTTGGGCGGGATGGTGAGAGTGGTGGCGTCAGCGCCCTGCGACGACACGAGGAGGTCCAGTGAGAGCGACTCGGCGTCGGAGAACACGCGCCAGGAGAAGGCCAGCACCGCCCCGTACAGCGACCGCGACCCCGACGCGTCCAGCACCAGCGCGTCGCACAGCCCCACCGTGCCCGGCGCGTCCAGCGCCGCCACCACCACCGCCCCCGCCTGCACCGCTTCTTGTACCTCCTGAGGCGTTCGCGCGCCTGATGCGCCGCCTGGCGGGCCGACGCCCACGGCCAGGGCGGAGGAGGAGGAGGTGGGGGAGGAGGGGGGGCCGGGGGAAGGGGAGGAGGAGGGGGCGGAGAGGGTGGGGAGGAAGGAGAGGGTGGCGTTGGGAGCGGTGGTGGCGGTGAGGGAGGTGAAGGGGCGCAGGGAGGAGTTAAAGCCCAGGTAGACCAGCAGGCGGGACGAGTCCTGCCACACGCACTGCGCACCCGTGCCCACCCGCGCCAAGCTCTCCCCATCCAGCAGTTCCGCGCACTCCTGCTGCCCCACACCTCCCCCTCCCCCCATGCCTCCCGCTGCCCCTCCTGCTGCCCCTCCTGCTGGTGGTGCTCCAGCGGTGGCAGTGGAGGGCGAGGAGAGGGTGAGAGTGGGAGAGAAGGCGACGGAGAGGGCGCGCTGGGAGCGGTCGAAGGACGCCTGCACACTGGCTGACGGGGCGGGCGGCAGCACTGACACGTCAGCAGGGCTGCCCATGATGTGTGTGGGGCCCACCTTGACCGACACTATGTACTTCCCGGCTGCTGCCGTGGGGAGGGTGAAAACGAGGCCGCCAGCTGGCAGACTGGGATTCCTGAGAGACGAGTCGATCTGCGTGGGCTGCAATGCTGATGCTGCTTTTGCCCCGCTGCCACCGCCAGCAGCAGCAGCAGAGGAGGAAGAGGAGGATGGGGCAGGGACGAATGTGACATTCAAGGTCAGCCCTGACTCGCCTGCTGTGGGATACTCTATTGGGTTCGTATACAAATCCCGGGCAACCACCAGAAACGTTTGATTGCTGCCCACCAGCGTACCGTTCACCAGGCCCAGCAGCGAGCATGCAGCAGGAGCAACCGGGCCGGGCAGCACAGTAAAAGTAAATGGCGACCCCCAGAGGTGCGCCCCCGAGGGCAGGTGGGTGACGGAGAGGTGAGCCGGGCCCGACTCAAAGACAGTGATGGTGGCGGTGACGGTGGGCGTGGCGGGCGACGAGAGCAGCACCCCGTGGTGGGCCTCGGAGGAGGGCGAGCGCGTGTGCAGCAGGAGGGGCAGGCCCGGCAGCACGTAGGGGTTGGCGAAGGCGTCGCTGAGAGTGACGTTGAAGCTGTAGGGCTGGCCCGCCACTGCTGTGGCTGCCAGGTCGTGCAGGCGCGATAGCGACGGGGAGAAGGGGCCTGGGGCGGACGGGTAGGGTGGGGGTGGGGAGGGAATTAGATTTAGGGTAAGGGTGAGAAGAGGAGGAGGAGAAGTTAAAGAGCGAGTAAGGTGGGTGGAGAGGCAGTTGGGGATAAAAATGAGGTCACCTCTGGTTACTGGCAGCATATGGACTGGCAAAGGAAAATGGCGGACCTGGCAGGATGTGGACTGGCGTGCTGAAGGCCGTCTGGTTGTTCAGACGCACTGAGAGCGTGAAGTTGCCTGGCTCGTACAGCAGGAAGCTTCCCAGATAGTTCCCCTTTGAGTTCACAGTGGCAGCAGAAGTAAAGACAGGCTGAGTGGTGCGGCACAAGGCAGTGAGGGGAGGTTGGGAGAGGAGTGGGAGAAAGGAGGGATGGAGGAAGGGAAAGGAATGCGAAGGACCTAAGCACGGAGGGGGTTGAGAAGCTGAAGCACACTCGAGAAGATCCCATCACATCATGATGCATACACTCTTGGACACGGCCGAATTGCTTGACGGTGCAGAGCGAGGCGAGGAGGAGGGCAAGTGGCACATGGGGCAAGGGGAGGGCCATGGGGCAAGGGGGGGCCCATGGGGCAAGGGGGGGGCCATGGGGCAAGGGGGGGGCCATGGGGCAAGGGGGGGGCCATGGGGCAAGGGGGGGGCCATGGGGCACATAACGAGTCACCCACCTGAGTGGTGCCTGGGCGGGTGAGCAGCACGGTGAGCGAGTCACCCTCCCCGGTGAGGCGGTTGAAGGTGCGCGCGGCGCCTGAGGCGTCCAGCACCGCCATGCTGAAGGCTGTGCGCCGCCCCACCATGCACGCCCCCCTCCCACACGCCTGCAGCGCTGCCGCGTCCACCCTCACTGCCACGGCCGGCCCTGAGAGTGCATGCAGGGAAGGAAAGGGACATGACATGATGGGAACATGACGGATTTACACCATGCAGGCACACGTACCATGTATAATCTCTCACGGCAAAGATACAGCAGCTCTGAGGAGACGCACGCATCACACGTGGGTGAACACTCGCAGGTCAATCGAGACTGCCCTAGAGAGGTGCCTTGTGAGTCGAATCCAGCAGTTGAAGGCGGGAAACAACACAACACAGCAGGCAGACAGTTGGCACTCGAGATGCCCTCCACTCCACTCCCCTCATTCTGGTCATCCGCCTCACCTGGCGCCAGCAGCAGCTGGAACCAGCCAGCAGACGAGCCGTCAGGCGTGGAGTAATGCACGTTGCGCCACGCCACATGCGCCGCTGCCGCCACCACCGTCACCGTCACGTACCCTCCCTTGCTCACACTCACACTCACACTGTCCTTGCCCCCCTCCGCCCCAACCCCCTGCGCGCCTGCAGCAGCAACAGCAGCGGCAGCAGCAGGGCCGAAGAGAAGAGTGGGATCGGGGTCGAGAGCGTCGAACGAGGGTGTGAGTTTGAGCACGAGGGCAGAGTCATCCTCAACCAGCACCGCCGTGCCGCTACCATCGGTGAACCGCACGCCGAACTTGGTCTCCGAACCAGCCGCCCCGCCGCGGAGCTGGTAGCCGTTCGGAATGGGGACCCCGTCCGCCGTGACAGCTGTCACCGTGAGATTGGCCGGGAGCGGCGCACTGGGCGGCAGGGCGGGGTGAACAGTGATGTTGGTGGACTGGAATCGGACGGGGCGGCTGTTGACAAGCACTGAAACTGACAGCCCGTACGGCGCTGCTGCTGCCGTTGCCACTGCCGATGGCGCTCCCGTGGCTGTGTTGTTGGGGGGATTGAACGAGCCTCGGAAGATGCACCCCCCGCCGTACCCCATTCGGGCGCGAGGCACGGCCGAGGCTGGAGGAACGGGCAGGAAGGCTCTGGGGGTGGGCGCAGGGAGAGCAACAAAGGCGAGAGTGACCGACACTTTGAGCAGCTTGGCGGAGTCAGTGAGGAGAGGGAAGCCCTGTGCGTCCCTCACACACATGCCCATCTCCACCACCGTGCCCGCCCGCACCCCCCCTCCCTGCTGCAGCCCTGCGCCGTACAGAGTGGAGTGTGCGAGGCTGACCGGGCGTGGGAGGATGGTGGCCTGCAGGGGGAGGGAGGAGGCCGGGTCAGAGAGCGGCAGGGCGGCGTTGGGGGGACCCACCATGAGCTGGAGAGAGGCTTGCCCGGGGGACTGTGGGGTGAAGGACAGCTGCCAGGCAGGGATTGAGGGAGGGGAGGAGGAGGAAGGGGAGGGGGAGGCAGAAGAGGGAGCAGGGGCGGGTGATGCGGCTGACTTGCTGCGGGTCGCTGTGGCAGCTGTGGTGGTGGCAGCTGCAACAGCAGCGGCAGTGGTGGTGGCTACAGTGCCCTGCCATTCCGTGTCACTCATCTCCGCTGCAGTCACATTCACTGCAGTCACGTTCAGCATATACGTCTCCCCCACCACCCCTCCCGTCGCCTCATCCCCATGAGACACCGTCACCGACCCCCCCACCCGCCCCTCCTCCCCCGCCCCGTGCCCCACCACGTTTCCAAACCTATCACGCAGCGCCACGTGGACAACCACTGGGCGGGCCACGGGGAAGGAAGCAGCAGGTGGAAACCCAGAGAGGGAGAAGGCGGCCGGGGCGGCTGGGACGACTTGGAGGGCGAGAGGGGGGGAGGGGAGGGGCGAGCCGTTGAGCAGCACTTGCAGCTGGTACGAGCCGGCGATGGTGAGCAGGGCGGATAGGGCGATGAGGGACGGGTTGATGGTGGTGGGTGCGAAGGTGGGGGCGGGGGAGGAGGCGGGGAGAGGCGAGGAGAGGAGCTTCACAGAGAGCTGCGAGGAAGCAGCAGCGGTGTTGGCGGCAGTGTTGGTGGCAGCAGTGGGATCAAAGGAAGCCACGTTCCCAAGCCCATCTCGCAGCGCCACCAGCACTTCCGCTCTTCCTCCCGCCCGCACCCTCACCCCTCCCGCCGGCACCAGCACTGCAGACGTGTTAGCAGCAGGCGGGCCGGGCAGCACAGTGACAGCAGCAGTGGCGACGATGGTATTGTGAAACACCACCCACACCGCCACCCGCCCTGCCTGCACGGCTGTATAACCCCCCTCGTACACCCCCTGCTCCTGCGCGCCTCCTGTGGCCGCGGGCTGCAGCAGCGAGCTGGAGTAGAGCCCTGCGTCCCCCCCTCCCCCCCCGCCCCCTCCAAAGATCTGCAGCGTGAACAGGTCCCCCCGCACCCTCCGCACCACCCCCTGCCGGTCCCTCGCCCGCACCTTCACTGCCACTGCCTGCCCTGCTGTCACTGTCGGCCCCAGCCCCGACCCCCACACGTCGCAGCGCTCCGGCGCTACAGGGCCGGGGACAGCGGAGAGCAGGAAGGGCGACCCGGGCACGTGCTGGGAGAAGAGGCGGATGGAGAGCAGGAACGGGCCGGGGCCCGGGGGGGTGAAGGCGATGAGGCAGGTACCATCATACAGAGGCTGCACTGTGGACGGGCGGGAGGCGGGGCGGGAGGGATCCGGGGTGGAGGGGGAGGGCGGGGGGAGGACTGGCTGAACAAGCACGTCCCAGGAGAGGGGCGCGGAGCGGGGGGACTCGGAGGCGGCGCGCGCGTCACTGAGGCCGTCGGAGTTGGCGTCGGGGACAAGCAGGAAGTCGGTGGGGGTGAGGGCGAAGAGGGACGAGCCGCCGCCGGCTAGGCCTTTGACGCGCCACTGGGAGGCCGTGACCTGCCAGGCGTCCGTGCCCGCTGCTGCTGCGCTGCTCTCTGCCTCGCGGAGTAACGCGTCCACCCCGGGTAGATTCCGTGGCAGCGCTGCTGCTGGTGGGGTTGCTGCTGTATTGTCCTCGTCAGAGTCACCGGCTGCCGCTGGTGCCGGTGCTGTTGGTGCTGCAGCTGCCGCTGCTGCTGCCGCCACTGCAGTCAATGCCGCTGGTTGGGCGGAGGCAGTGGCATTGGCAGCAGCGTCACTGACGTCCACGTCAATGGGCCCATTGGCGCCGCCCACGAAGTACCCCGCGATCTTGATGGACAGCTGATACCGCCCGGGCTGGGCGGCAGAGAACACCGCCACACACGACCCGTTGTACAGGTCGCGCAGTGATGTGCTGGGCGGGGCAGCGGGAGGAGCATTCGAAGCCGGGGGCGAGGAGGACGAGGAGCGGGCAGGAGTGGCGGTGAAGACGAGAGGGAGGGTGTCCATGAGAGGGCTGTACGGGCCGACGTTGCCAAACTGATCCGCCGTGGTCACCAGCAGCACCAGCGGCTGATTCACCGGCTGGGAGAGCACCGTATGCAGCGAGGCGTTGACAGTGGAGAGGGCAGCAGCAGCGGAGCCGCGGAAGAAGGGCACGAAGAAAGGCCCGTCCATGATGTCCGCGGGGGGCTCGCCGCTGCCGTCCACATGCAGCTGCACGCGCACGCGGTAGAACCCCCCGTGAGGCGGCTCGTACGTGGTGTATGTGATGCGGTACGCGCCGCCTCCTAGGGAGACTACGGACCGCACCTCGGCCTGCCGGGTCACGTTGCGCCGCGCGAACACCGTGACCACCACCGCCACCGCCCCGTCCATGAACGTCGCACTGCTGCCCCACGCACTGGCGCTCCCGCCACCGCCGCTCGTGCTTCCACTGCTGCTGCTGTTGTCTCCCACCCCACCCTGTGCCAGCTGCGTCCACCCACCCTGAACCCCCCCGCCCTCTGCCGTGGTCTGCCCGGGGTACAGCCCCTGTGCTGTGCGTGTCTGCAGTGTGAACGTCGAGGGTGCGCCCGCCACTGTGCGCTCCAGGCCCGGCCCGAACGCGTATGACAGGGCGGCGGCGGGCGGCGCAGGCAGCACAGTGAGGGGGAAGGTGGCACCTGGGACAGGCTGGCCTGCGAGGTACACCTGCACCTGCACGGGGCCCAGGGCGCGCAGCACTGGGTGCGCCACGAGGAGGGTGGACTGCCCGCCTGCTGCTGCTGGCACCATGGCACTCGCGTCTGTTGCACTGATCCCACCTGCATCCCCCCCGCTGCTCCCACTGCTGCTGCTGCTCTGACTGCTGCTGCTGCTCTCACTGCTACCGTCCCCACTGCCATCGCCGGTGCCATCACCACTGCTGCCTGACTGGGACTCCTGCAGGGAGCGCGGCAGCGTAGGCTCAGCCGTGGCGGCGGTGCTGCTGCCATTGCCCGCCGTGCTGTTGCTGGCGGCAGGTGAGGCAGGCGGGGGCGGGGCTGAGGGAGCAGGGGAGGGCGCGGGGGAAGACGGGGGAGAAGGGGACGGCGAGGGCGACGGGGAGGGGGGCGGTGAAGGGGGGGGGGAAGCCGGGGGCAAATTCGAGGGAAGGACGGCATAGAGCAGAGTGGAGGGGTCAAAGTCGCGGATCTCATTCCCCAGGGCGTCTCTGGCCACCACAGTGACATTAGGCGGCGAGCCAGCAGCAGCGGAGTTGCTGTTCAGCTGCACCGTGCTGCGCTCTGCTGAGGGGGCTCCTGGCACCACCTGCAGCAACGGCACCGGGAACACCAGCTTCTTCCTGGAACCTTCCAGCAGCACTGTCACGCTGAAGTTCCCGGCTTGCCGCGCGTCAAACTGCACGTCCAACACACACCCCTCGGCTGCACCTGCTGCCCCTGCCCCGTCTGCTGCTGCTCGCTTGCTGCCTGTGCCTCGTGCCGCTGCTCCTGATGCTTCCTGCTGCATGCCGTATTCAGAGGCGGTGAGCGCCTGGCACAGCGGCAGCGAGCATGCAGCACTCCACATGCACTTCACACCTTCTGGCTCTATCCCCCCCGCTTCTTCCACCTGCTGCCCCCCTTCCTGCGCCCCCTCCTGTGTAGGCTTCACTCTCTTCCCACCCCCCACAGCCGCCATGACCACAGTACCTGCTTCCTCCTGTCCGTCCGCACTCCCCCCACTCTCCCCCCCTCCCCCACCCGCGTCCGCCTCGCCCTGCGTCCACAGCCCCCCCCACCACGAGGCGCGGTGGGTGAGGTTGACCGGCCTCAGCACCACGGAGCACGGCGCCTTCACTGCCGCCGGTGGAGCAGCAGCAGCAGCGGGAGAGGCAGCGGGAGAGGCGGCGGCAGAGGCAGAGGCAGCGGCAGAGGCAGAGGCAGCGGCAGAGGCAGAGGCAGAGGCAGGGGGTTGGGCGGAGAGGGAGGAGTTGGGCAGCAGGAGGTGGTAGGGGATAGCGGTGTTGCCCAGTGCATCGCGCAGCACGAGCCTCATTCGCACCACACTGCCCGCCTCCGCCTCCCTCACATCCCCCCCGTCCACATAGCTCTCCCCCGGATCCACCTCCCCCGGCAGCACCATGAACTTCTCCGCCTTTGCCCCAAATGCCACCTCCCCCAGGTAACCCTGCACAGTATACTCGCCTGCCCGGGTGAAGTTGAGTTCAGCATCGAAGCTCCCTGCTTGTAGCCTCCCGAATGCCACGTCCCCTGCAACAGGTACAGCCTGTCCCTTGGGGGGCTGGCAGGCGGGTGCGGGGGAGGCGACAACTGAGAAAGCGTCTGCTGAGGGCGGGTAGCGGCTGAGGCTGTAACTCTGCTGGTTACCACTGCTGTCGCTGGCATGCAGAGGCAGACGAACGGCGCCGCCCACCACGACAACGCGGCCGAAGGCGGGGGCTGGGGCGAGGGCGAAGGAGCAGCGGGCGGGGGCGGTGGGGCCGGGGAGGACGGTGAGGGAGAAGGAGCCCTGTGTGCCGGATATGAGCCCGTAGTTTGTGTCCTGTGCCACTGCCCTCGCACCCTTCATGCTGCTGCTGCTGCTGCTGCTGGCAGTGTCAACAGCAGTCTGCAGTGTGCGGCCATGCAGTGCAGAGGAGGCAGTGCTGCTGCTGCTGCTGCTGCTGCTGGTGGGTTCAGTTGGAGAGGAAGACGTGGCAGTGGGTTGAGTGGAAGCGAGGGAGGGGAAGAGAGCATCATGGACCGACAATGTCGAGCCATCTGTTTCCCCAGTGCCGCCAGCCTCCGTGATGGCAGCACTGGCAGTGACAGGGGGCGCTCTGTGCTTGTGCAACTGCGTGTGAGCCGCAAGAGTGATCTCTTCCAACCCATTGCTTGGTTTTGCAGCTGATGCAGCACTGGCAGAGAGGGCAGAGGGGGGCGCAGAGGGGGCAACAGAGGAGGAGGCATTGTCCCCCCCCACTGCATCCCCCTGCAGCAGCTGCAGCGGCAGGCCTGACTTCACCACCATGCTGCTCGCCCGCCCCAGGCACTCCGTGCAGATCAGGACAAAGCTGCCGGCCAACTGAACAGTAACCTGTGCTTGCCACAGTGCAGGGATGGGTTTCCCTCCAAAGGAGGGGGCGACGGGCGTGGCAGTGATGTCAGCCACTTGCCCCTGTGTGGAGAGCAGAGTGAGGGAGAGATTGGCGGAGAGCACAGCAGGGTCTGATACAGCTGCCATTCCTGCTGAATCTACTGCCACAATGCGCAGCCACATGGCGGCGCCTGATTGGACGAGAGGCGGCGCGAAGGCGAGCAGCTGCTGCATGGGGCCGGAGGCGGGCGATGCGGTTACCACACACGTGGGCTGGGCGGCAGCGCTGCCTGCACTGGCGTCCACTGCTGGGGTCGCCGCTACAGTCACGTTCTGCAAGAGCACATCGCCTACAGTCACAAGGATAGCGTAGGCCCCGGGCTTGGTGACCCGGTAGGAGATAGAGTAGCAACCGTTGCCGCTGTCCACCACACTCACCGCCGTACCCTCCGCCACCGCTGGCATACCCCTCTGCACCGCTCCATTCCCCCCTGCACCCACCAGCGCCGCTGCTGCCGCCGCCCCTTGCGCTGCGGGCACCACCCCCACCTGCACGTCCTGCCCTGCGCCCCCTGCCAGCAGCACGTTCCCCCACGCGTCCCTCAGCTGCAGCTGCAGAAACGCAGGGAACTTAGGCACTGCTCCATGCGCCCCTGGCCCGTATAGCAGCGAGGAAGGTGGGTGCAGAGGGCCGGGGAGCACTGTGAAGGGGAACGGGCTTCCTCGGATGTGCCGGCCTGAGAGAAGGACCGAGAGAGACGCCACCCCTGCGAGTGTGCCTGTATCGAAGGTGACATCCAGGGAGGAGGAGTTGGAGGGCGAGGTGGGCGAGGAGGAGGGGGAGGCAGAGAGGGTGAGGGTGGCGGGGTAGGTGAGCTGCTGCTGGGAGAAGTTGGAGGCGACTGAGAAGGAGGCGGAGAAGAGCGAGAGGAGGGGCTCGGCGGGCAGGTCGGAGCCCATGGCGTCGTGCACATACACTGTCAGGCGCCCCGTCTGCCCCACTGTCACCTCCTGCGCCGCCACCAGCAGCGGCCCTGAGGCGTCCCCACTGGGCTCGCCTGGCGCCACCTGTAGGAGCACGGAGGAGGAGGGGAAGGGAGAGGAGGGCGCGGAGGAGGCAGCAGAGGAAGCGGAAGAGGAGGTGGGTGAGGGTGGAGGGTTTTGGAGATTGATGGTCTGCTGGGCGCGGATGAGGGAGAGCGCGGGGGAGTAATTGCCGTGAGAGGGCGGGGTGAAGCGCAGAATGATGAGCCCCGAGGCCCCATCCACCTCCACGCCCACCCCTGATGGCCCCTCCCCCCACTCACTGCCCTCCCCACCACCCCCGCTGTCACCGCTGCTGCTGCTGTTGCTGCTGCTGGTACCAGCGGCACCGTTCACTTTTGTCACACTGGCAACAATCACATCAGCGTCGGTGGCAGGGATGTGCGTGCCGTCCGAGCTGACGAGAGCAAAGGCCATCTGCGCCTGCTGCCCCGCCACCGCTGCTGCAGGTGCGGCCGCCGTGATGGGGGAGAGCGGCGTGGAGGCGGCGGGGAGGAGGGCGGCGGGGAGGAGGGCGGCGGGGAGGGGGATGGCGGAGCGGAAGAAGTTGGGCGCCTTGAACTTGAGGCGGTTGCCCTGTGTGTCCGCCACCACCACCATCACACTGTACGCTCCGGGCAGCTGTGGAGCAGGTAGGCACGCAGGGAGGAGATTGGGTATGTTGGGAGGGGAAGAAGAGGATTGAGGGAGGGGCCGGAAACAAGTATTTGCATCGTATGGAAGAATGGGCAGTGGATGGACTATGTGCATTGCATCACATTGCATTGCATAGTATGGTCATGTGTCGCGTTAACGAACGATCGACTGTGGCAGTGACGTGACTCGCGAGCAGCTTACCTTGACTGTGAAGTTAGCAGTGAGCACCTCCCCGCCCGCAGCATCAGTGGCGTGGGCGACGGCGAGGGGGAAGGTGCGGCGGCGCGAGTGCGGCATTGGACCGAACAGCTGCACGCGTGACTGCGACAGGTCCACCTGTGATGACAGGCGGAAGAAGGGCGACGACACGCCCCCAGGTGCTGCTGATGCTGCTCCCGCCTCCCCCTTCTGAAGCTGCTGCTGCTGCTGCGGTGGCTGCTGCACGGCGTGGAGGCCTGCCTTGGGGCCGGAGGAGAAGGCAAGGCGGAGGAGCACGGGGGAGCCGAGAGGGGCTTCAGACAGCAGCGACCCCGACAGCACTGCGGACGACAGCTCTGTCAGACTCATCCCGCCCTCCGTGATCGGGCCACCCTGTGCTGCCTCGCTCCCTCCCCCTCCACCTCCCCCTCCCTCTGCTGCCTTGCTTCTCTTGTCTCGCCCTCCGCCCTGCGCCACCCCCTCACTGCGCTGTTGCTTCAGCTGTCTCCCCCGTCCCACCCCTTGCTGCCCCCCAGCTTTGCTCTCCCCCGCTCTGCCCTCCTCTACGCCCCCCCCTGCCCAGCCTGCGTCAGCATCAGTTGTGCGTGCTGCAAACTGGAACCCTCCAGCTCTCACCACGTCCTCCTGCCCTGCTGCTGACGTGGCATGCAGGCCTGATGAAGGAGAGGTGTCCGCGGAAGCTGAGGTGGCAGCAGCTGATTGGAAGAGAGATGGCAGGCGAAGCGGGTCGAGCACAGGGAGGAAGTCAGCCAGCAGAGAGTCACCTTCGTCCGCCCCACCCCACCCTGAAAGTAGATCCGCCCCACCCCACCCTAAACGTGAGTCGCCCCCACCCCATCCTGCGTGAGAGTCCGCCTGTCTGCCATGGAAAGCACCTCCGCCCCTCCCCACGTGCAACGCTCCCCCTTCCGCCCCTCCACCAGCTCCCGTTGACCTCCTTTCATGCGTCCCCGCCCTTTCACACCCGCTCTCCTCCTCCTTGCCTTCCCCCCCGTTCCCCCCCACTGCACCTGCTTGCCCCACCACCTCCCCCATACTACGGCTGCCATCTCCACCACTTGCATCGCTGCCACTCCCCTCCTCCCCAGGCCATTCCTCCTCGCTCCCCGCCCTCTGCTCCCTCAGTGCGTCCCTCCCGCCGCCTGCCTGCCCCGCATGCCATGTCAGCAGCCGGTGCTGCCACTCCGCCAATGGAGCCCTGTCAGCCACTCAGTGACGTCACATCACACATCATACCATTCCGGGAAATCGCAGTCAAACTCATCATATACCATGTCATTGCGTTACCACGCCATACCGTTCCAATTCATGCCATGCCGTGCCGCGCCAGTTACAGCACAGCAGACCACACCAGCCAACAATGCATATCACGGGCAAATGTCAGTCAAGGATTGTGAGGCAAAGCCACGTCAGTAAAAAGGCTGTCAGTTAAAGCCACGTCAGTCGAGCCATTGTCCGTCAAACCCACGTCAGACAAAAACGCGTCAGTCAACAAAACGTCAGTAGCGATGTCAGTGAAAGCTGCGTACGGAGCGAGTCGACAGGCCAACCTGGACCTGAACTCCGTCCAGCTTGCTTCACTCCACCTCTGATTTTGGAAGGTCGTTTTGCGAATTAACCCCAAAAAACACCGAGCAAATTCAACAGACCACCCCGCACCTCCTCCACCTTGCTCACTCCACCTCTCCACCTCTTCAACAGGCGCATAACCCCTCTGAACCGCTCCTTCTCTATTTCCTCTCCCAGGTTATCCAGCTTCAAGCACCTCACAACCAAAGTCAAGCCATGCGCTACTTTACGGCAGGGTGACACTCACCCTCTCACGCGAGAGTAAGCGAAGTCCGGCGAACGCCTTTCGGAACGACTCGCGAAACGAGCGAAATTTGACGCCTTGTTGCTAAAGTGAGCTGAGAGACAAGACGGTGGGAAACGAGGAAGCGGGAGAATGGCGACCATCAACTCAGCGGGGAATGGCGCGCGCGCGACGAATGTGAAAAATCTACAAAGCGAGACAGAATCACTGGTGAGAAAACCAAAGAACGCGGGGGGGGGGTTACTGGCGGTGCTCGGGATGACTGCGACGACGGACCTGAGTGCGAGGTCGAGGGAAGAACGACGATTGTGAAAGCGAGGAGAAGAAAGACGACACGTTGACACAACCGTGACTGGGCCATGCGGAGACCGAGACGACGGCTTAAGTAACCGCTGTACCACTATCGGCTCCTAACTCGCTAGTTTTCTTGCCATCGGTGACTGGCTGCTACTTAAACAAACACTCGCTACGTAGGAAAATACTTCCGTGCGCTGCGGCTACTTCCATACGACAACACTTCGGTGTGGCATTCCCAAGGGCCAAGGGTAGACGGGAAGGTGGTGGCGGTCGTGGCCAAGGGGGTTGATGCAGGAGGGATACACGCTGCGATGGTGGCGTCGGTGGTGGCGCGAAACTGGCAATCGCGCGTTATGCTGTACAGATGGATATCATCGTGTAGATTGCAGTGGCCTTAAAATCATGCGGCGGGAAAAATGGCAGCGAAGCAAGAACGAAACGTGAGATCGCCGATGCCGGGGATCGAACCCGGATCTTCCGCGTGACAGGCGGAGATACTGACCATTATACTACATCGACATGTCCTTTCAAGAAACTGTTAATTTTTTAATCTATAAATCAAGTCCTTTCAAAGCCCACCAGATCTAGATTGCACAATGGCAGCATGTCAACGACCCAGCAGCACGTCGTCGTTCGAAGCAGCTCTGGGGTGCACCACCTGGTGCGGCTGTATGCGCCCCTCTTCTATGAGAAAGCGCACTATGCGCCCCCACTTGCCCGAGTCAAAGGGGTGCCTGATGGGCGAGACGGGGAAGAGGTGGGGAAGGAGGAGAGTCGGTAGAGAGGGGGAGGGTGGGGAGGAGGGGGGATTAGGGGGGTCTGTGAGTCGGAGGGGGAATTCCAAGGGAGAACAATGTTGATCCATGTGAAAGAGTCAAACGAGTGGTTAGACGGAGGGCGCGAGGAGGAGAGAGGCGGAGGGGAGGGGAAGAGAAGCCGAAGAGAAAGAGAAGCAGTTGGAAAACGGGTAAGACAGGGAGTTGCTATAGGGAGGATGGTACAGGTGAGGAAGTGAGGGGGATTTTTGGAAAAGGGGGTGAGGAAGGGGGAACTAAACAGTGACAGTGGAGCACAGTGCGTGGCGGGGAGGCAGAGTGAAAAGGAGGAAACGAGGGGAGACACAAAAAGCAGGAGGCGGCAGGGAGGGAGAGGGGTTGAAAGCAGTTTACAACAGAGGGAAGGCAAGTGCAGGGCTGTATGGGCCCCATGGTGTGTTGGCATGTGGGTGTTTGGGCGGTGGTATGGCAGCAGGATGAGGAAAGCACACTCACAGCTTCTCAATGCCAAAGAGGCGCACGTTGTAGTCATCACAGTACACCAGTGGCCTCTGCCTCACACAGGGCCGACACAGGGCGGCACAGGGCGGCACAGCAGCAGCACAGGGCGGCACAGGGTGGCTCAGGGTGGTACGGGGTGGCACAGGACGGCACAGGGCGGCACAGGGTGGTACGGGCGGCACAGAAGCAGCAGAGCCAAGGAGAGGGAAAATGCACATGCAGTGGAAGCACAAGTGAAAAGCATATTGTGATGCTAAGATGCTCTCCACTCCAGGCCACTTCACCCCACCCACCCTATCTTCCTCACAACCCACCCTACCTCTCTATTCCCAGCCAACCCTTCCCGGCAGCGGTCATGTGAACTCAGCCCAGCTTCTTAGAAACAACCGACCTTCATCCATCACCTCTCTCCCATCCCCCCCACCTCACCCCTCTCTCCTCACCCCCCTCTCCCCATCCCCCTTCCTCACCTCCCTCTCTTTCCAACCCCCTCTCTCCTCACTCGCCTCTCTTCTCAGTCCCCTCTTTCCTCGCCCCCCTCGCTTCCCACCCCCCTCTTTCCCCATCCCCTCTCTCCTCACGGACCCCTGTCCAGCAAACACTCATCCATCCCATCTACCTCTCTCCGCCCTCGCCTTCTCTTCCCCCCACCCCTCGCCTACTCTTCCCCGTCGCTGCCCTCAACTTCTCTTCCCCGCGCCCCTCGCCTTCTCTTCCCCCCGCCCCTCGCCTTCTCTTCTCCCCCACCCTTGCCTTCGCTTCCCCCCGCTCCTCACCTTATCGTCCCCGACGTCAAACAGCAGTTCCGACCGCATTAATTGCCGCCTCGTCTCCTCGTCACCCCCCACGCCATCACCAGCCCTCCGCCCTCCTTGCTCCGCCTCCTCTAAGCCCTCCGCTTCCGCTCCGCCACACGACGGCTGAGTGTCGCTTGTTGTGCTTCTAACGAGGTCCGCACCATCCGCGCCGGCGGACATGTTGACGGCTAGCCGGCTGGCTCTCGAGCGCAGCGCTTTCGCGACCGAGAAACAGGAACGTGAGCGGTTGTTTCTGTATAAAGAGGGAAAACGACGGCTAGCCGACTCTCTGGTCGTCTTTCCACAGGTGGTCAGGACTGATCGCTCTGGGCTAATGTGAGGAGGTGCACTATAACGGGGACAAACGAGAACTACGTGGCACTTGAGCGACCGCAGAGCATGAGTGGCTCGTTTTGGCAGAGCTGCGGCAGTAACAGAAGGGTCAAGAGCGGTGGCAGCAGCAGCGAAAGCAAGAGCATGATGCGGCACAATCATGGGAGCCTGGCGCGGCGGACCAGCATCACGGAAAAGACAAGGGCCAGAAGTGACGAAAATGTGACTTTCGTGACTTTCCCGTATACGGAATTCTGGGGTAAAAAGGTGATGGTTGGAAGTACCGAGCCCAATGTCACTTCCGAAGTGACGGAAAGGTCACGGAAATGTCACGGAAAAGCTCCGTTTATGTCACATCCAAAGTGACTTCATGGTCACCGGCCGGTCACGTTCACGTCACACGGGGGTTTTCTCATACGAAGGACCGTCAAATGGCACAATTAGTCATAATCTTATAGCAACCCGCCATGTGGCAAGCATGACGTCATCATTACATCCCGAAAGTTACAACACAGTACTGTTCACGGCGCTTCGGGTCACAATCCCATCCAATCAACTACCTTCACGTGGACGACCAGGATCACCCCGTAGTTGTATCCACACCCTTGGTTTACAGACTCCGCAACGAATGCACAACCGCCAGAGAGATGACCACTCATGCCTTCCATTGGTCGAATCTCTATCCATCCCCTTAACTCCACACTACATGTACACTGCGGATGGCGTTGAAATATGACAAGGTGTACGGCTACAACAATGTACATGATGACTAGACAGGTCAGCGACCTCTACATCCGGCCGTCCACGTAACCACGCATCTACGATGCATCGTTGGCCACATTGCGAACCGGATTAGTGCATTGTCAACGTGTACTTACGTCCGTCCGTGGATAGACACCCACGTGGACGGCCTACACATTGCATGGACCCACCGATGCATCTGTGACCTGCACACGACCAACCTCAGACGATGGGGCATAAGGACACTCTCCCGGTTATGTTTAGCGTGTTATTGCGGCGGAATGTTGACGTACCACGTGCTCCAGCCATGCCACATGGTAGAGCTTCAGCGTCACGGTCCCGTTCACCATCCGTGGCTTGAATGCCGCCCGCGCGCATGCAGTAAACGCACCAGAGGCGAACAGCATCCCGTTACGGTCGCAACTCCATCGCGACAGTGCAAGCTTATCTGCCACGTAAAGCAAACACCGCGTGCACAAAGATTAACAGTGAGCCACATAGGTGTACTGAACTCTCGTAGTACTGGTTGTGGCGGCACTTCCTTACCCGTTGCCACGTCTCCGAGGCCGACCCTATCCCGGATTCGGGACAAGGTGCGCCTCGAACGTGCCGCCCAGGGGCTTTTCATGTCCCGTTCGTTGCGAAAAAGCCCAATCCTAGGCAGCGAGATGTCCCGGAATCTCCCTGCTGCACGAGTCTTCCAGTCGCTGAGCGACCTGTTCAGGTCGACCCGACGGGCCTTGCACGTCGCGAGTGCAAGGCTTGCATAGTTGGGGGTCAGGTTATCCACGACTGCGCAGATGCCCCAGGTCTTGGCTGCGCTGCTGGGGTAGAACATCAATTGCTTGTTGGAGCGCCGGATGAACAGTTCGACGCGAGCCTGCTCACATATTTCCTGCAGTGTCAAACAACGCATTACGTCATCACCTGGTATACATGTTCCGCACTGCGTACAACACATCTACCAGGGTTTGCGACACATGATTCACTTGATGCGTACCTTCCACCCCTTGTCCGCAGGGAGTAGTCCGAGCGCCTCCTGCATAATGGCAGAGCTGGTGTGTCGAATGTGTCCGTCATCCCCTTCTTCGAACTCCTCCTCTTCCTCGGATGCCGTCTCGGACGTGGAGCAGGAACGCCGCGCCTTGCGGCGCTTTCCCTTGCCAGATCCGCGCTTCTTACGCCTCCTCCTCTCATTGTTGACCGCCGGGGTGGGTTTTGCAAGGAACGCAGTTTCCAGCCTTGCAATCGCACGTGCCGTGGCTTCATGGAGCTCCCACATGCTCTGTAGCTCCTCACGCGTGACTGGTGTGTCATTTGGTGTACGTTCCGCGCCGGCGTCCGCCTCTTCGTCGTCGGCCTCGGCCTCGTGGTCTGCTTCCGCATCATCCTCGTCTTCGGTATGCGCTGGGTTACGCCGAGGGAGAGCCTCATTGGGATCGTCGTCCGATGATGACGCGGGTGGGGCGTCAGGTTCCCCCTCCACTCGCACAGACCCTTCGATAACCTCCTGAACGTGACGTTTACGCCTGCGGCCCGCCGTCCCGCCGGTTCCAGCCTCCTCATCAATCTGCCGGCTGGACTGGGCAGACGACGAGCTACTGTCGGACGTGCTCCCATGCGACATACGCGAGTCCCCGCGAGTCCCATGAGAGGGTGTCACGGCTGCATCACACACGCGGTATGTCGGAACGCATATAACAAATATTTAAAAAATATAAGTATGAAAACCGTGTGAAATCGTCACACCGACCAGCCTCACAAAGACAAACGACCAAAGCCATTTACAAAGTGTAACGCAGAGCCACTCACATAGAGGCGATGGGGGACCCCGTGCCTGCTGCTCGTTGACACTTTTCGGAATAGCCAGACGAGGCTTCTTCGTCACTTGACGCCTAACATTGCCAGGCAGAAGGTAAGAGTTGCGCATGTAGGCAGGTGGCTGTGACATGCGCTGACTCCTGCCCTCACGGGACGACACCGGTCCTGCTGTGGAGATGTCCATCGTGACCAAACTTGTGGGCAGGAATGAGTCCATCGGACACCGTGTTCACCACTTACGCATTCAGTGACCCTCTCTCCGCACGGCTTTGCCGTGTCCCCCTTTCCACGTGGTACGCCCTTGTCGGCCAGACTGAGTTCGTCATCTGCCGGGTTTTGCCCATATGGCACACAGGGGACGCAACGTTATCCACTGCACTCGTTACAAAGTCGAGTCTGTCTAGCTACCATGGTTGATCATTGTAACAATATATGCACTACAAGGGCAACACGCGTACATATGATGCCTTGATGGGACTGAGGTGATATGAATTACGATGCGAAGTATTAGGCGCGAAACATACAACTCCACATGGCGTAATCCATACTTTTCCTACGGTATTCATTGCACAAGAGGAGGCGACGTCCTCTCGCAAGCACACACCTCATTCGCAAATAGTATCATGATTCCTATACACGTCTACGCACATATAGACTGCTATCCATGGTGTCATCAGCCACTTCCAGCTTACCCCCCTGCACAGCTCATGTGTGAGTAGGCACTCCAGATACCCCATCCTTGTCTATGGCTTCTCCTCGTCCACGGCCTCCACCTCATGCACCATCCTGTCATCCCCGTCGTCATCACCACTGCTGTTGTTGGGTGAGCGTGAGCCAGTGTTCTCGAGGGGGAAGGGAGTACCAGGAGCAATGCCCAGCTCTGCCATTGCTGTCCTCCACTGACGCCACCTCCACCACATCCGTGCCTTGACAAGATGCCTCACGTCGTCGCGAACACACCCGAGAAGGAAGGCCTTCTCCACGTCAGACAGCTCATTCGTGTGCGGGATGTGGTCCTTGCGCCTGATCACATATGATGCTGCGGCATACGCATATGCCGCATCGTCCTCCACGGTATACGCTCCCAGCCTGATCTGCTGACCAGTGCCAGGTCCGAACACCATCTTCACCCCCCACTTTCTGCCCCTTGGGCACCAACTCACCCCTGTCCAGCGACTCGATGCAAGCCGATTGCCGTATGCGGCAAGCATACTGGTCTGGCGCACAGGCCATGCTGCAGCCCTCGATCCCAGACGCGTGCTATAACTGGGAGTGCGCGAGAGGCTCCCTGGTGCTGCCGGAGTCCCGGGAGCTGTTGGATGATCCGGTTCCTCCTTCATGGGCGTGTCCTCCGTTGGTGACGGGTCCCTATGAAAGGTAGATGCCCCATCGATATGAGCAGGAGCGGACGATGGCACCGGAAGAGGGCTGGGGGTAGGATGGATGGTGATGCCCAGCGTCCGCATCAATGCAGCGTGATCCACGAGGTTCTTTGACATGGACTGCGCCAGCAGAGGCGTCCCGTGGGTCTGTAGCTCGTGGGCCGTGCCACTTAAAGCCGGCGCCTAGAATGGCAAGGGCTCAAGATTACTGAGCTTGAAAAAGGTTCAGCGAAGGTTAACGAAGGTCGAAATTGGGGCGGACCGAGTCGCCAGCAGGATGTTACAACAGTGGCGCGGCTGAAAAGCATCCTTCCTAGAGACCTATTGTTTGAGGTCCGAGGGTCGTACGTGAGGTGACGCGAGTGACATAGTGTTAGACCCACGTTCCGTCGCTTGCACGAGCATTCCAGCGCCCGGTTAGTTTAGGGAACGCCACATTGGACTTGACGAAGAGTGACACATTTTAGCTAGCAGAATACGCATCGCGGTGTGCTCTGTCAACGGATGGGGAATTGACTGCGCGTACCGGGTGCAAAGGCGCGCACCAACGGCTACGGGGGACGGGGTACGTCGCCGAACTCGCATTGCTGCACGCACTTGACAGGCGCGGCCCTCGCACAGCACAGGGATGTGACATATATTCGGTGATATAGCTGGACCACGTCTATTAGAACACTTCGAACTGCTCCACCCTCCTCTGCGCTGCACTCAACCGTCACAGCAGTCGCCTAAAAGGCGAAAGATTTCCAGCACCTCACTCAATCTCCCCCGCCAACACGCTCAGTAATGTTGGTTAGCAGCCACTCGCACCGCACCTGACGGTACCACGTGCGCCCCTGTTCCACTCTAGGGCACACCACCCACATGCGATAACTTTCAAACGTAACTGAGGCCACCGCAGTCAACTTCGCCAAGCATATCGCAGGCGCATTTGTGTTTTGCGTGCAACCTTCGAAACTCACAGACGAGCTATGACATCGTTCTAACGCAAACGGATATCGCACCACCCACCATCGCCCTGCACCAACCGTGATTTCGGTCCCCCGCCAGCTCCGCGCCCACCATCGCTGCATTAGACTGTACCGCATCCCACAGGTTCGGCACGCACTTTACTGCAGGCACCACATCTAATCTCTCCACCTCATACTGGTGTCCCTTTTCTCTGTGCGCACCTACGCAGCTACGTTGGCGAGGACGGGTGACTATCGGCAAACGAGGGATCAACTGACTATCTGTCAACCCTCAAGTTCTTGGCCACCAGTGAGTGAACATGGTGGGGTTCTGAAGTGGGGATGAAGTGAAGGTGAGGTGAGGTATAACGGACCTAAGATGGTGTATCAGGGGAGGGAACGGGAAGGGACAACTTCCCACCGAGAGAAGGCGTGAGGTTAGAGGGAGATGGGATGTCAAACGCTCCCCACAGGTTTGGATGTAGAGTGAGACGGAGAGGAAGAATAACTCCCCTCATTGAGTCGGTATGAAATCAGGGTAAGATGTGATTCAACCCACCCCCTCTCCTTCCCCTCCCCCAAAAAATCTGTTCAAAGGGGTGAGGATAAGAGGAGGTGCCCTCCCCTCTGTTGCGGGTATATGAGAGCAGTGTGAGGCGAGTTTCATCTCCCCCGCTGGGCTGGGTTTGATAAGTGGTGGAGGGGAGGGGGACCTTCACTACGTGAGTGTGTATGGGGTGAGTGTGAGGGAGTGTTCACCGGCCCCCACTGGGTGGGGTTTGAGAAGATGCTGAACCCAACAGTGAGAGTGTATGGGGTGAATGTGGGGAAGTGTTCAACTTTGTCCCCTTGGCTGGCGAGATAAGAGGGTGAGGGGAGGCTGACCTTCTCTCGGTGGAGGTGTATGAGGGCTTTGTGATGGGAGGTTTCACCTCCCAGCCCCGGGCTGGTTTTGAAAAGAGGCTGGGGGGAGCCTGATCTTCCCTCAGTGAATGTGTATGAGGTGAATGTGAGGGAGGTTTCAACTCCCTCACTTTGGGCTGGGTTTAATTAGAGGCTGAGGGGAGCGAGACCTTGCCTCAGTGGGTGTGTATGAGGTGAGTCGGAGGGAGGGAGGCACCAACTCCCCTTTGGCGGGGTGGGTTTTGAGCGAAGGTTGAGGGGAGGCTTACCTTCCCTCAATGTGTATGAGGTGAGTGTGAGTGAGGATTCCACACCCCTCACAAGGCTGTGTTTGAGAAGTGGCTGAGGGGGGCGTAACCTACCGTGAGTGGGTGTGTATGACGTGAGAGAGATGGGAGGTTCAACCCTCCCTGCTGGGGAGGGTTTGAGAAGAGGCTGAGTAAGCTTGTTATGAGGTGAGTGTGTTATGAGGTGAATGTGACTGTGGGTTCAACTCCCCCCAATGGCCTGGGTTTTTTAGAAGAGGTTGAGGGGAGGTTGACCTTCCCTCAGTAGCCATTCTAGACTCGGGCTTTAACAGTTGATCCTCTGAAATGCCAAGCGAACGTGCCAGACTGGTGACCGCCACACACACCACATAACCCCCGAGCTCCATCCGGGTTATCATTCCTGACTGCTTCGCCAGGCCGGTACGAACTTCGTCCTCCTTGGGAAAGACAAGGGCACCATGTTCACCCAACTAAAGGAGAGGTTGCAGGGGAACCTCCACACCTTCCCCAAAGAGCTTGACAATAAGGTCACTTGTGGAGTGAAGTGACACGTCCTCGCGTAGCTGCCTCCGGTATGCATGAGACTTTACGCCTTAAAACGTCATCCACTCCTTGAGGACTGAGAAGCCGCATGCTACCAGTGTATAGAGATACATGCACACATATATCCCACAGTCGACAGCGTTCAACTGTGTCGGGATGTCTTCAGGCTGCCAGCGGACACACAACACGATAACGTACTCATTAGTGACGGGCACACCAGACTGGGCACGCGTCGTTACAACGTTGGGAAATGCACATACATGCATGACGGTGACTTCGGCATACTTCAAACTGCCCGCAGCCAGCTTCGGGTCTGCGGTGGGCAGCTGAGCCTTATGTAGCATGAGCAACATCCTGCCAATCAGGTTATCATAGTGGCTAGTTGGAATACACATCCTCAACCGAACCAGGGAAAACATAATGGATGTACCGCCCACTTTTTGACGCCCTCCATCACTTCCGGAGTCTTGGTGTGCAACTGTGCACTATCGTAATGCACCAGCTCCACGCTGCCCTCTGCAATCTCGGATAGCTTCCCACTGACCATGACGCGAAGGTTCATGGTTCTGAAACATGTACACAACGTGTATGTTAGGACGCGCGCACGTCACACTACGTGCAAGGGAAACTGACTTTCTTCAATAGCATGACAGTGCGACGAATATGTCTTACTCGTAGTACACGGGTATGGCGAGGTAATCCTGGATGAAAATACACGGTGCATGGCCAAAGGGCCACGCCTTGTTCAGGGCGGTCGCGAATACAAACGCCTTCGTGTCCAGAGCGAACCATGTCTTGCCACCCTCCAGCTTCGGATGTCGTATGATCAAAAGGCTGATGCACAACGCATAAGCGCGAGACGGGTCGTCAGCATGGTTAGGAAAACATTGTGTGTAATACGGCTAAGGGATTTCGGCGCTGTTAACTTACACGTTATGGAAGTCCACAACGGAGTCGGCCAAACACTGGCCGTCTGCGAGGGTCAGAACGTCCTGGGCTGTCAGCTGACACCCCACGCCACGGGGACCGTAGAGCGCTAGCGTCTGAAAATCCTGCTGATAGTTGGGCCTGGCAAGACGGGCCACGACATCGTCAGTTGGCGGTGGTGGCACCTCTCCTGCGCCCCTCACGGAGCTGCCCGCCGATGTTACGGTACGAGGGCGGGGCGGCTCCGCCTTCACCTTGCGCTGTCGGCGATCATGCTCCGTGCTCAGCGTTGTCAGGGCACTGGCCGCGCAAGCAGAGTTGTCGCGATGTACCAGCATACGCTGTATGTTCATCGTGTGCAATTAGACGGCTCAGGCGCGTACTAATTTTGTAGACGCGAGAGATAGACGGGGAGATGAGACTACGAAACTTAGTCTGTTGTAATGGCAGCCCAATGGACGATTATACTTGGCAGTTGACGTTCACGCTCTGCGGAGTCTGTGGGTGTTCCGAAACCCACAGGACGGACAAGGCTAACAGAGATTCCTATAGCGTGCCAGATCCAGTTGGGAAATTTGTCAGAACATTATATAGCTTATGCTGTTGTGTAGGCTATAGTGGGGTATCCCATAGGGGGTACAACCCAATTAGGGTTTCCTATATGTACTCACTTCATTCATAGTTCAACCACTCTCGTTCTTCATTTTCACATGGAATCAGAGCAGGTCCCCTCCTAGGGACTGCTTCTAGGGCCCACCGAAGCGCGCCCCGAGGCGCGTTTTCCTTTTTTTTAGCGACCCTCCGTGTCGCCCCTCGCGGCCCCGCCGCCCTCCCTTCGCGGCCCCGCCGCCCTACTAACGCGGCCCCGCCGCCCTTCCTTCGCGGCCCCGCCGCCCTGCTCGCGCGGCCCAGCCGCCCTCTGCTTCGCGGCCCCGCCGCCCTGCTCACGCGGCCCCGCCGCCCTCTGCTAAGCGGCCCCGCCGCCCTGCTACAGCGGCCCCGCCGCCCTCACGTCGCGGCCCGCCCGCCCTCTGCTTCGCGGCCCCGCCGCCCTGCTCACGCGGCCCCGCCGCCCTGCTCACGCGGCCCCGCCGCCCTCTGCTAAACGGCCCCGCCGCCCCACTACAGCGGCCCCGCCGCCCTCACGTCGCGGCCCGCCCGCCACCCTACCTGCGGCCCGACCGCCGCCCTACCTGCGGCCCGACCGCCGCCCTACTTGCGGCCCTACCGCCGCCCTACCTACGGCCCGCCCGCCGCCCTACTTGCGGCCCGCCCGCCGCCCTACCTACGGCCCGCCCGCCGCCCTGCCTGCGGCCCGCCCGCCGCCCTACCTGCGGCCCGCCCGCCGCCCTACCTGCGGCCCTACCGCCGCCCTACCTGCGGGAGCTGCCTAGCAGCAGAACCGCCGGGAGCCGAGCCGCCCTGCCGCCGAGCCGCCCGGGAGCCGAGCCGCCCTGCCGCCGAGCCGCCCGGGAGCCGAGCCGCACTGCCGCCGAGCCGCCCAACAGCCGAGCCGCCCAGCAGC